TATATATATATATATATATATATATATATAACTTTAACTTTAACTAAGTTGAATCCTATAAAACCAATGTACGTACTTGTAACTTTTGTATACTCTATTAAATGGTATATTTGTAATTTAGAGCACAACGAGGAATTAGAGCACGAGGGGAGGTGAAGATATGGAGGGTGAAGACAGAAGGAACAAGAAGGTGAGCTTTCTGCCGCATCTATGGTCGATGTGTACCATTAAATTCAAGGTCTAGCTAGTAGCTTTTACACTAGCAATCAGGCATGAGTCATTGAACGTCCAAGGAGATTGTGGAAACTATCTTTACGGCTAGGGGCATAAACGAGTCGACTCGAGCTTGAGCTTGGCTTGTCAGTCAAATTGTGATCTTAAGCTCGAGTCAAGCTCGGTTTGTAGTGGTAGCAGCCGGCTCACAAGCTCGAACTAAAAATTTAATTTTTACAAGAGCTTATCGGAGAAGGTATTGGCCGGAGGAGGAGGAGGATGTTGTGACAGCACACAGGAAAATGCATCGAAATAACTAGAGATAAGTTAATCGAGCCAGCTCGTGAGCACGTTAACGAGCCGAGCTTGAGTCGGATCTACTCATTTACACCCCTAATTGCAGCTAGGTCTTAGAGGCAAAGTGTGAATAGAGAAGAACACGTGGGTCAATTTTTTAGGGGTCAAAAGGAATGAGTTTCATGAGTTGGCCTCATGGCTTAAACTGAGCATACTACACTGATTGATCCTATTGGTTCAATTGTGAACTGGCCCTCCGATCGATTAATTGACTAGATCAATAACTACTTTTTCATAATCGCTCCAGGTTCAATGTTAGATTTGAGTTTCAAAATTTTAATTTTATAATCTCATTGATAAATAAATGTTATCGAAATCATGTTTTTATCTCTTAGATTTTATTCTTGACCGCTAATTAGCAGTCAACTGGAATTTTGTAATTTCTTTCTAGATCCAATGAACATGATGTGACAATGGATTAAAAACTAATTAAAATAGGACTTGTCAAGTATCCTACATGAAATTTGATTTGAACAATTGGAGTAGATTTTGATATCTTTAGATGTGAGAAATATCATTATCATGAGAAATAAAGTCATATTTGATGAATTGATAGTGAAGAATTGTCCAATCTATTTGTCTCTTGCTTAGATTCTTATTTGATCTAGCAGCTTTAAAGCATGCTTTAAAGCATCTCCCACCAGTATCACATCACTATCCTTCTAACATTAATCATTGTACATATGATTAAGTAACTGGGATTATCGTGCTTATTTTTAAAGTTTGCTTTAAAAATAAAAACGTGATTCATGATCATTAGTTTATTAGCATAAACATTTACTTTAATATGTTGTTGATAAATAAAGACAACTCTCTTGCGAGATATACATGTATACAGTTAATGTGGTATATATAAATCAAACAGGAGAACGATCAATGAAGCGAAAAAATAGAACGAGAAAATTCACACCAGAAAACAATAACACAGCGGAACACACAGATTTACGTGGTTCGACAAATTGTCTCTGTCCACGGAGCTGCAGAGGATTTTACTACTTGAGGAATTTACACCTGTCGAACACCTCAACTTACAAGAGGAATCTCTCACTTTGTTGTTCTCTCTTCTTCTCTCTATTTGTTCTTCTCTCTCTACACCGAGATACATCGAAGAAAATCTACACTGATATACACTGAAGAAGATAAACTTATAAGAGAAATAA